ATTAAAACTTACTCCTTCGCACTAAACTGCAGGGGAACCTGTTTACTTTGCTGGTTGTGGGGGTGTTGCTGGATTTACACCGGTAGGGAACAAAAAACATAAACTTGAACGTGTCTCAGTTTCTCTCTACGAAGTGGGCTTCTTTTGCATTATGAAGTTGCCCTGATCTGTTCACCATAGCCAAAAATAGCGTAACATCACCACTGCAAGGAAAGAATTCCTTCTAACTTACAGTTGAACCGATCTTATTCAAAAAAAGGACATGCTGGTGGAATATCAAATCGCCTTTAGTCATGATCATCTTTGAAACAACCTGGACAGTTGCCAGCCATGGAAACGTTAGGAGATGTTAGGAGTGTACATCCAAACTGGCCATCCCGCCATCCCTGATTACCCCAGGAACCGCATCTGTGTAAAGGTGAGGTTGCTCTTTCTCCGTTCAACACAAGATAGAGCCCTGTCCAAAACTGAGATATCATCATTCACAATGGTCATGCATGCTCTATATATATATATAAGCTAGGTTTATGGAGATGTCACCCTAAGAACAACAATTTCACGAAAACATGACTTGTCTGAGACTTGCTCATGACATGGCCGGTGACCCATGAACGAGTGGTTGCCAATACGTCTTCCGCTGGCAAAGAATCCTCCGAAAGAAGCTGGATACCCAGAGCTGTCCAATGCAAAACCTGATGTTCACCCGGATCTGGACTACTGGTCTGTCGCAAACAGGGACGCATTCCGTAGTAGTTGCACCCGTTCGGGGGTCTCGTTCCAGGTCCAACATGGTCAAACAACTCAAGTCGCGGTTTTGAGGGCCAAAGGGCCTCTTTTGGAAGAAGTGCCATGCCACTTGACCAACATAACAAGCCAATTTCCACCATCCTGTGATTTGCGAGAAGGCTTCACCCTCCCAACCCCGAAGGAAAGCACCCTCCCTCCCCTGAGCAAGTCTAATCGCCTCATGCTTTGTGAGCTGATCTGCCTGCAGGGCTGACCTTGATGGACACCAAGCAAGCAAGCAAGCAAACTACATCCGGCAAGGAACCATGGACACCAACATACAGTGCGTCCTTGCTGGATTGCGATGCCAGCATATGATGATGTGTACTGTATTGAAGCTCCACAGGCAATTGGCAACCATGCCACTGCTGCAGATCCTCACCGTTTTCACCAGTTGGAAATCTCTCGAAGTGATCATGCGCACTGCAAAAAGGCAAACTCCCTCTGGACAAAATAAGTCCTCAAGAAAAGGGTTCTGTGCATGAGGGTGGTCTCAATAACGTTCCAGTTGATGGAATTGGCCCCCTTCAATAAGATTCAATAACTTGGGCAGGGGGAGGCATTCGCACAACCATCCCATAATTGTGGTGATCTACCCTGCTTTGGCAGCTGACAGCTGCGCCGCCCATGGCCGTCCAGCCGTCCGGCCGTTCAACGACTAGGCTCTCCACCAGTGACTGTTGAGCTCGGTATGCTCCCGTTCCAGCGCCTCGGTTGGGACCGTCCGATGCCATACCAAATCGGTGTGTTCTCAATAAGTATGAGGTCTCGGTATGCCTGTAGTGAGTGCACTAGTGAGTGCATGTTTGTGTGCATCTCCAATTTATATACCTTCCATGTGTTTCTGGAAAGTAAAAGGTGCCAAAGTAAGTCGCCAAAACTAGCAAGGCAGCTATCAAGTCCTTGGAGGATTTGGCCAGCTCATGCTAGTGCTTTAGGTAGAAAAACATCGCATATACCGTGCCTTGCATTTCACTGGCATTGCCACGCGTGCATACCTTTTTGATTCAACCTCTGCGACCATCACCCACTCTTGAGGATCACTCCCCTCTAAGGAGGGTGAATTTGGACCACTTCCCCGGCCTTTCGTGCCCTAGAAACGTCCAACCGGAGATCCGTCGGTAGGCGGCGTGTGGCCAGTGCAGTTGGTCAAATCCACTCGAGTCAAACATCTGCTGTCAACAGCTTCTTCCAGGTTCCATGAGCCCCATGCGCCTTCTTGAGTTTGTGTGGCGCGGTGCAAGAGCGGCCTCACCCCTCTCACCGAGCGGCCTCCTTCTGTGCCAAGAGCTGTGTCAGGGCTTCGTCGTAGGCCTTTGCACCCTGATCTGCTGGGTCGGACGGGCCAACCGCCACACATTGGGAGACATCGCAGGAGAACATGGTGGTCTTGGTCTTGATTCGTTCCAAACCGTGACTCACCTGTTGGATTAGAGATGGAGAAGAGGGCGAAGGCTCCAGGTTCGTCTTCCGAAGTGCCAGATTTGACTGAGATTCTCACACAAGAAGCACCTGTCAGGAGTCATTCCTCAAGCAAGCCTCCTTATTCTCTTTCCATCTCTTTCCCCTGGGTTTTCATGATTCATAGGTGTGACAGTGAAACGCAATCACACATATCACCACCCACGTCTCCTCGGCTGCCTCGGGCGTCGGCCCCTCAGCTGCCTCCGCTCCTCAAAGCTGGCTCGGTGCACCAGTCTGGTAGGTAGATGGGTCATAGGTCTTTGGAGGTTCTTTCCTGATGTACATACAGACACATTAATGACGAGGTTTTACAAGTCCAAATGGGTATTTGTATGTATTTGTTTAATCAAGAGTCTACCAGTCTACTTTGAACCGCTAGGATCTAAACATCAGCAGGGTTGCTATCCACGTCTGCTTAGAATCTAATGGATGATTCTGTGAACAAACTCTCCGCAAGAAACTCTTTCCAATGCTGTCATTGTGGAGAGGTGCTGTTTCGTTCTAGACCACTAAGGATATAGTACTGCATTAAGGAATCTGAAGGAAACGTGTTAGGTGGTTTCCCTCCTTTTCCCATGTACATATATGGTTGGTGTTTTAGTCAGAGGGTCCAACCATCCCCAAGTAAGGATTGACAATAAACATATCCGAAACCATCACCTAGACTACTGTAGTTCATTATGGTATATTATGGCTATATTGAACCCTTTTCAGATCCACACTGGAGACGGTTGACCTCTAGATCGAAGCACACAGCCTGAGACACACCCGCACGCAACTGCCTGTATGTACGTAGTTTGCAATGATGGTCAGCTCTTCGTAGGCCATAGGCTGATTGTGCTTTGGGTTCACAGCCCTTCCGCCCGGAAGAACGAAATGACAGAAAAAAACACACAATGTTCGACCCAAATTCCGTGGGGCCACTGTCACTGTACCCTCACTGTCACTGTCACTGTACCCTCACAGTTCCTCCGACTTCTGTCCCCAATGCTGGGCTCGACCTGCCGCGAACTCGACCGGGGCACAAGAGCCAAGGACCGAAGCTGGCGCGATCCTTTCGTTGCGAAACATGTGGTGAAGGATGAACATCGCCATGCGATGAGGGTTTGGTGCATGCTGAAGGATGGAACTAAATGGATTTGAAACCTGCCTGCCTCACTCATCAAACGCTATTGTGTTTCCTGTTTCTCCTTGTGTAGGGGATTGCCACCAAGCCTTTGTTACAAGCACTAGGGATAAGGCTAAAGATCAGGTCCGTTCGGGCTCCAGTGTCCACGAGCTCCCCCGCTGGACCAGCTCAAGCTCAACTGGCGGACCGACAGGGCAGTTTGCCAGGGGATCGAAAAGGTGTGATGTAGATCAAAGTCAGAAGAAACAGGTGCCAATCAAAGCCTGTTGAATCGAAGCCTTTTTCAGCACAACAGCCGTCTCTGGAATCTAGAGCCTGGCTGCGTCAATTGGCATCTACATGACATCTGTGACATGAGGGTCCAGGATGAAAGTCTTCTGAGCTATGTATCCGCGTATGCCTGAAGACTACACCTTCACGACATTCACTATATACCGTATACGTTCCTTTATTGTGTATATAACTTCCTCCTCGCATGGTGCTCATGTTCCTGCTGTAAAGATCACGAGTGGTGCTCTGTTCGAGGGGATCCATCAGTTTTTGTTTGGGATGGCTTTCTGACCACATGCCCAAGGCCCCTCCCTACTCAACGCGCCTTCCTCCTCCGGCTCCTCCTCTGGCTGCACATCCGATGTCTCGACCGGCAAGTCGCGGGGCGAGGGAAGTGGAGAGGCCGCCTGGCGGGCGCTGATGGAACTGGGGATGATGGTGGGGGCGATCACCACCACTTTTTGTGCATATATGAATCATGTATGGGCATATAACCAGTGTGATATGAGATCTCTCTCTCTCTCTTTCTCTCTCTTCTCTCTCGCTCTCTCTCTCTCTCTCTCGCTTTCTTCATCAATCTGTCCATGAGATTATGTAGTGAAATGGGTTGATGAACTTTACTCGGGAGACTCCCCAAAGTTGGGAACCCTGCATGGGTGTGATTTTTCTTATGGAAGGATGGTTGGGCCAAACACGTGCTTTTCAGCCAGTTCCCCTGGCTTGCTGCAAAGGTCCATGGCCAAGCTACATCATTGGCCATCGATACATTGCCAAACAACTCAAAGAGGACAATGAGAGAGCAAACACCACACCCACAAAGCCCACAAAGGTTGTCAAGCACAAGGTCACAAGGTGCTTTTCTCGGCATGGATGGGAACCCCAGGTCCGATGTCGTTCAATCCATCTCCCTCCAAGCCGCATCTTCACCTTTCCAGGATCCTGTGAAACAGCTACAATCACCTACAGATACCTACAGTATATCCTTTGTAACGGTGTATTTTTTGCTAGGCACCGTTAGGCACCCGCACGATCAGCATGCCCAAAAAGCAGCAACGATCCAAATCATTAAACACCCTTCATATCCGTTCATCACGTTTCCCCACCGAAAAGAAAGGCACACAAATATTTGTAGCTCCTTACCGCCCGCGCCACGACCCCCAGGCCACGTCGCTCCTCCAGGAGCTGCGTGCAGCGCTGCACGAAGCTCTTGGGCGCTGCCGTCGTCGCCTCCTCGCCTCGTCGCGAGAGAGAACTCTCCCAGGCGTTTCGCGGGGCGAAAGACGGACGAACGAAGGACTGTCTTGCGTCGTTTTGGGCGTCGAAGGACGCTTTTGGATGGCAATAAAACACGGAAAAGGTTTGGGCTTCCTGTATCTTCATGTTGTCATGAAAACTTCATGGTGGCTTGAGTCGGAATTGTTGTGAAATCCTGTCTTTGTCCTTCAAGGGTGCACCAGTCGGTTGTTTAAGAATGTTTAAGACTGTTACATGAAACGTCTGTGACAAAAGTGCGAGTGCTTGATATCAAAATTGGTTGGAGCATGTAAAAAAATGCATGTCTGGACTAACTAATCACTCCTTGGGAAGATCCTCAATTTGACGCAACAGCCCGTCATGAGCACCCACCCAAAGCAGGATATAAGAAATTGAATTGTAAATACAAACTTGTCATAGAATAACAGGTGATACATATTATATTAATATAATATATATATAACATATAATACAGTAACTTCCTCTTGCGACCCTTAAAGGGCCCTTAAAATAACCACCAAGCACGCCTGTTTGCAGGTGCAGCACCAACCGCAGCCGGGGGCCGGAAGGAAGGCCACCCAGCGCCGCCAGATCGGGATCGGGATCCACCTGATACCACCTGCGTCGATGTCGCTCTGTCGCTCTGTCGCTCCATGTGACGATCGACTCGCGTCAGTCATGAACCGCTTCGTACGCATCATCATTTTGGGGCACACTTGCCGGCTGTCCCAGGTGGAAGCGACTCGGCGACTCCGGTGTTCTTATTTATGTTCTTTTCATTTTTGGAGGAAAACACTTCCCTATAATAACACCATATATAGAGGATCTTTTTAAAGGAGTCACACAGGAACAGAAGAGGGGTCCGCGTCCCAAGCTGTGAAGCAGCTTCACCGAAATGAGGGGCCACAGCTGGAAGCGACTCGTTGAACTTCAATCTGTCCTCAAGCATGCCAATACAAGCGGCATCCCATCTACTGTATCCTACCAATCATCCTATAAATATATATATATATATATTAATATAGGGTTCTCGTTTGTTCACCAGGAAGTCCCCAAGGAATGTAGATCTTCAACAGTAAGCATGCTTGGTTCGTTCCCTTCCGATCTCGGATTGCAGTGTTCTTCTACCGTCTTCGGGACGTGACTAGCTCTTGCCGCAGATTCCTTCACATAAAGTATCCTGTGGACACCACATATTCATCTGCATGTGTCACTGCTGCCAAATGCTCGTACGCCGGAGATTGGGCCTTTGGAAACTTCCGGTTTCTCCCGTCGCACGTCTTCCAAAAAGCGTCTCCGAGATCCACGCTCGTCCACGGTGGTGTTCTTGTGCTTTCCTCGCCCCGCTGGCGCGCGACCGGTGGTCTTCCACCCTCGTCCACACCCGCTTTGGCCGCGCGATGTTCCAAACAAAAATCCGATCGGACATGGCCATGGCATGTCCCCCGGTGAATGGGCATCCGAGAATCGGAAACCCGTCGCCACTTCACTCAGGACGATTTCATCTCAGGACGTGCGGCTGCCACCCGTTTCTCTGTTTCACCCTAGGAGGTTGGCGGCCCCTTGTTATCTCCCGTAGTCGAAGGGGTGAAAGACAGAACGATTTGGTAATGAGTCCTTTTGTCTCTTCTTTCAGCAGTTTGCGCCATGGATCATAGGTCAAAACTCATGAACATCGTTAAGCTATCAAAAGCTATCAATAGAGAGGGAGAGATCCAATCTCACAGCTGATGGACGATATCCATTGAAAGTAATTCGACTTGTACATGGTGACAGGTCTCATCGTATTTCACCCATTCTGGCAACGCACATGTGCCCCAAACATGACACAAGATTGCCTACCTGAATGCTTCCACAAGCAAAGCGTAAAAAACAATCCACTCAGGACTAGCCCAAACCTATAGCTACATAAGGGAGCAAACTTTACGATCACCATTGCATAATATAATATGCAATACATGCATCTTCCATCCAGCAACCTCTGCATCCATCCCGGCTGGTGGCCTAAGCTCATGATGGGCACTGAGCACTTGCCAAGGCCGGTCTCCCCAAACAGAATGGCCACGGTGCAAACCTCGAGACGGACACGGAGATCTACACCTGGGATATGCCATCTTCTGGGCATAAGCATCTCTTCCAGATGGAAACTCAGCAAATAAGGTAACACTTAGTGACACCGAAAACACGACTAGTCACCAGTCTTTCTTCCATCCACTCCGATCTCACTCCAAAGGATCTTGCAAATCTCAGATCCAGATTTTAAGGATCTATCTGGCGTGAAGATGCTTAAGGATCTATCACTCCAAAGGATTCACCTTAAGTCCTTAAGCATCTTTGGGAGAAGATTTGTTCTGGTGAAACCAAAGCTTGGAAGTGCCATGCTTAGCCATGTTGGCATGCGGCCTTTCGCTAACTTGTGCACAGTTAGAATGTTTCCCAACATGGTTAACATGGCTGACGAGGTGTGAAAAGCAGCGAGGAGCCCTCTTTTACCTTTTGGGGAGGCTGGTGGCCGCAAATTCTGTGGATTCTGTGGTGCTGGCTGTTGCTTGATACGGGAGCTTGCCCAAAACAGCAATGTAAATAACTATTAATATCTGTTCTATATATATATACATATGATATGAGTCAAAAGACTAGCCTTCTGGCAGGGATGTCCATAGATGTTGGCTGGGCCTCTGGCGGAAAAGACATGAGGCACCTGCCAGGGCTGCAAGCAGTCCTGGCTGCAACGAGGAGCTCGCTTCGGCGGGTACCCTTGAATACCCACACCAGTTGCCAACAGAATGCAGAACCTGCTTTCGTGAAAGGGAGCAAGATCAGTGTGCAGCATGAATGAACAGATTCCTCTCTACCCAAGAGGGGCTTGCAAAGAATGGCTAGCTTGGTCATTGCCAGCTAAGGATTTGGCAATCTGCCAGTGCTCTGTTGCACCTCAAGTAGGCCCCTGATCTCATGGTGCAAGACAAAGGAGATCAGAATGAAACAAAAACCACTAGGTAAAGCTCCACTCTGCTGACGGTGAATCTTTGGGACCTATCTGCTCCATCACGCAGTGCCGTTTCGACGCAGTGCCGTTTCAGGGTGACATTGGTTTGCCTAAAGCTGCCTTCGCCTTCCCCAAATCAAATGGTGGAAACTGCCAAGAAGGGGGTAAGACGATCTTGCAGGGTTGTTCCGACTATATTACAATATTATAATGTTGTATAAAATGCTTTTGGTTGGGTACAAGTAGGTCTTTGTGCGCTAAAATACGCCAAGAGTGCAGCCTTTCTCACCGTCCAGTGCTGATGAGCATCGGCTAAAGGCATTGGCACCCGGCTCCGCCGGTAGTCACTACCCAGCGCCACAGCACAGTGCAGCCTGAGGATGCTCTTGTTCTACAAACAAATCATAACATCTTCCGAACCCTCCGTGGGTGTTGCTTGAATGATTTTTAGGGGAGGGAAATCACTGTGACCCGTGTCAAACAAGCCTTTTGGTTTGTGAATAGGAGGCATGTGGAGGTGTGCTAGCTAGCTAGCTGATGCACAACGGAACTGATGGAATGATATATAAATGTTCCAAAGCATGTGTCCTTCCTCCAAACCACTGTGGAAAGCGATTGGAGTGCAGGATGTGGTCAGCTAAATGGAGCAATCCCACCTGACCTATAGCACCTCCGTCAGTTAAGCTAGCAGCTAGCAGGCACAAAACCCACCTGAGAAGCAGCAGCCCTTTCAGCTGGTTCGAGACAGCATGAATGAACGACTCATTCAAAGCTCGTCAAACTTGGTGACCCAAAGCCATCCCAAATACTACTTGGCAACATAGCGGCCACGCATTGAACACATGTTTCTTCCAAACACAGACTCTATGTGCCCAAAGGTGCTGTCTGTATGACCAGGTCACCGGTATGGGCCCGGTCAACTCGTTTTGAGGCCCCGGAACTCCATCGGTCTCGCATCGCAGGAAACGATGGCCAGGAAAAGCTGCTCAGCCATCTGACCTGGTTCCATCGTGAAATGTACGGCACTCAGTGAGCTGAGTGCCGAAGCCCTCCAACAGAGCCACCATCAAACACAACCCCCCATCATACTGAGCGATGGAAAACCCCTCTCAAAACATCCACCAGTCCACTAGACTATGTGGACTAATGGGGCGATGCGGAAGCTGTGCTTGAGATGAAGCGGGACTTAGGCAATTGATGATAGGGACTTAGGCAAACTTGGATGTTTTATGAATGTGCGACAAGGGAAAAATCAGTGCATCATAGAGAGGGGGACGTTGGGAGAACTCTTATATAAACTCTCCTCCCACTGGAGACACTGCAGCCACTGAGTAACGGACATTGCTAAACCACCCGGCTCGCATTGGCACGGGCTGCCCTACGTGGCATGTGCCAAAACAGTTCCATCTCTTATGGTGTGACTGGTGGGCGGTTCGCCACGCCAAGAATTGTGGGTGAGATGCCTTGTGTCGTCGACGTCCGCATGACATGTCTGACGTCCGTGTGACAGGAAGATCTCCAGCTTTGTTGATTTATCACTCTGCTTCACAACCATTCTGCCCGAAAGTGATGGAGAAAGACGAACAACATGGAGCAACCTTTGGCCTTCAGTACTTTCCAAGGGATGTTTTACATTGCGCAAGTCTCCCTATACCCAAAACTTGTCAAAGGCCCACCCTCCAACGCGTTGGGTCCACTTCGGACTGGTTGAGCTTGGGATACGACTCCCAAACCTTGCCCCTCGGAGAAACATAGACTCTATGGGCTTCGGGTGGTGGTGACGGGCCCGCCACCATTTTTTGGAAGGCAAAACCTCCATCCTCACCCATCACATGCACAGGGTGATGCTGGTTTTTTACATAATTAGTGTGGTTTAGTGATAGTTTAACATCTGCAGGATGTGGAATAGTTCTCAGTGCTGTTTTCTCATTTCTGGAGCCACTTCTCATGCCAACCTCTGGAGCCGAAAGAACGAGTTCCAGGCAGTGTGAGAGACATGTGATGACCAGGAGCTTCTTTTGTGAATTATTGCGTTTTTCCAAGGACACATGCATAAACATACACTGCCCTGAATAAGTCTGGACTGATCACAGTTCTTCAAAAGCTTCAACGTGACAGATCGCAGCGTCGCCATCGTAGCACGTAAGCGTTCGGATTCGTAGCACTTGCTTTGCCATCTTCGTACGCATGCCAGCCAGGTCCTGTTCTTGCGCTTGCACGATGGTCGGGTTGAGGGTGAAACTCAAGTCAGGACTGCCGTCATTCACTCGATTCGTTGCCCTACCGAAAACCATGCCACGAATACTAGACACTCAAGCAACGAACCAACCAGCAAGCGGCTTGGTCGCCACGATCGGATGGTCAAATGACGCCGTCAAGTAGCAGTGCCAACTGGCTACACCCCAGTTTTTGGTGCCCCCGGACATGTTCCATTGCCATTGCACTGTCATGTGCTTAAAAGAGCTTGAGGCAGGGATAAGACTGGGTTGGGCCAATTGACCCTAACATTGCAAAAGGACCACCCTGAAGATTGAGCTTTGTGAACGACAGTGTCCTCTTGTGATACCTCCTGAGAAGCTTGTGGCAAAGCATCTGGCTACGTGTACTAAATGTATCCTTGTGGCAGGTTTGCAAACCTCTATGACCCAATACGAGCATCAAAGCATGGGCCACAACTATCCGCCATGGTGTTGGACATCTTTGGAGGATGTTGGACATGTTTGGAGTGTACACGGAGGATGCCTTAAGACTTCCCAGTTCTTTCAAATCTCTAATGAACCACCCAGCGACCCAGTCAGCATCGCAGCGCGTCAAGCGCACCTGCATGGCGACGAATCGTTTGAACTGGACCATTGGCCCTGGGAATCCAGCTTCTGGTTGGTGATTTAAACTCATTTGAACAGTATGAATCCAAGGGATCAATCATCCTAAGTAAAGGTTGAACATGAAACTCAATGATCTGAAACCACCACCCAGTGATAAACCAAAAAAGGAAAGGCTGTTGACTGTTGAGGTCTTGGAGGTCTGAAGTCTTCTGATCATGGAGTGGTCGCTTCGCCTTTTTCCGCGCACTGTTTTGACTGCGTTCGGACAAGACTTGTTAGGGTGGAGGCCATCGCTACTAGGGTGCAAGCCATTACTACTATAGTAGCAAGAAGCTACTAGTATCATCTAGTAACAAGGTTAGGCCGTGCAGTCGCAAAACTCTTAGACTCCAAATCTGTCACGTTGAATTCCACAGCACCGTGCAGCCGACGTGGCCGAACCCGTGAGTCTTGATGATCCTGGCTTGGCGGCTTGGCTGTCCAGCCAGGTGCCCAGCGAAAGTTGAGAGACCTAAGCAGTCTCTTGATCTTAATGATCATCTTTCATCCTCACTTCAGCTGAGGCCGCGCAGAAAGTCCTTGGAAAAGCATCAAGAGATGGATGTGGATCACCTCAATCACCTCATCACGTCTCCTCTGGCGCGGTAGTCTCCACAGCCACTTCCCAAGCGCAACTCGACCTCACCAAAGGGATCAACAAGGGATCAAAGGGTTCCTCAAAGGTTTCTCGGTCTTAAGAGTGGTGACCCAGCCAGTGGATCCCGGCAAAGCTGCACGTTTGGCGATGTTCGCCAGGCAAACCGTGGATCGTCGCCACTGACCGTTCCCCTTCCGTGGCTCCTTTCAGTCGGCCAAAGGCTACACTTGAAGCCCAAAGGCAAACAGGAAAGCCGGCTTGCTACCGGTGTTTACTCGATGAGTATCCTAATAGCTTGGTCATCATCTGGACATGGCGATGTCCTGCCCAAACACCTAGGGCACCACCTGACAGGGCATAACGCCGGGGTCCAGAAAGATCGCAAGCATGATCTTGAGCCCAACCAGCCATGAACAGGAACCATTTCATCTCAAGTCTCATTCTCGTGCCCGCGCGGTATACACTTCAAAAAGGACACATATTTTGGAGTGGGTCAGTCTGTATATACTTGAAGGATGCTGGAGCTTTTCATGGCACGCTTGGGATGAGCCCATGAAACACGGAGGGAAGGCAATGTTCCAATGTCGGCGCACAATCCAACGCAGCTTCCGATGTTCTTGTTTCAACCAGGCAAGCTACTGGTTCCGCACCGGTGGGGGCAAGAAGGTCACTCTCAACGTGGTGACAGCTGTTGAACATGTACCTCTTCCACATCCAGCGCACATTCAAAGTACCTGTGCTGCCCTTGACCGTAGTCCAGAAACGATTCCACATCCATGGATCCAGTGGCCAGTGGTCTTGCTTCTTCGCACAAAGAAGAGCGGCTTGGTGCAGAGCGCAAACCGCATGTGTACGCATCTGCACGCGCGACGCAACATCTGGATCTGTCCCCACACCTTCTGCCCTCAACATCACGGGATGACCCTCTAAAACACATGGAACCTTCAAATGGATTCTAATGGCTTAAGTTGAAGAGGACAATGACCAAACCCAACATCTTCCACCAAACTTCCACCAAACTTGACTTGCAAAGCCTCAGCTTGACTCAGGTCGCACCTTTTTCTTGGTTATTCTTCTGGTGCGGCCCTGCAGTTTCGCAACACCGGACTCGCTCGCCGCTTCACAAGGTGCCGGGCGAGTCCGCTCCGCGCCGAGCTCGGGCTCGCCTTGACAGGGCCGACTTGATCAACTCGGGATTTGTGGAAGATGCCAAAGGGTCGAGCTACTGGTGTTTCAGCTTGCAACCTGGGACCATAGGAAGGCTTGGTAATAAGGTGATTCAATCTTATTAGACCTTCCATTAGTGGGCAATGTGTCAGTGTCATGTCGTGAGCAGTAGACCTACAACTTGTGGGGAGTCTTTCGGTATCCTTTGTGGAGAAAGGGATATCTATGTTTGGATCTAGATCTATCATGATCTATCAACACAAAGATTATACCATACTCTCCCATGAGGTCCCTCGGTGACTGTGATCCGCCCGTCTCGCCAAGCACCATCCGCCCAGCTCCCTTTTTGGTGCATTTTCTTGTCAGGTCTTTGCACTGGTGGCTGATGAGTATTTGCTATACTGGATCTCGGTGGCCAACAAGTATCTCTTGAAGCATGGACGCCACTCGGTTCCAAAAAAACACAGCTCCCCACGGCCCACCCCGAACACAACCACGGCCCAAGCGGCGGTGATGTTCCATGACGTTTGGGGGAGTCCACTTCTTCACCCATCAGCGTGAAGACCAAGTTCTGGCGCTTTCGGAGTGACCGGCTTTTTGGGCACCGAACCACTCGTTCACGGGGCACTACGGGGCCAGCAAGGGGAATTTCTGGATCTCATGGGATGAAAACATGACGAAACACGAACACAACTAGGTCCCAAAGGTGGGGCCAAGCTTGTCTTTGGACACTTGCTTCATCCCTTGGCTGGTGGATAGACGGAGAAGCTTGGCAATGTCCAATATCTCTACTTCTACATTGGTCGATCTCACTCGTCATAGTAAATGTAAGCAAATGTCTTGATTTGGGTTACCCCCACCACACCTCACCTGGCCCTTGAAGCGTCTCAAAACTAGCCTTAGCGTCCTGTTGCAGTAGCTCTCTTGTAGCTTGCCATGTGCGAGTCTGTTTACGAGATGCTTGCTGCCTATCAGGGCCAACCGGTGACAGCCGTCGACTGCCACGTCAACGACGGCCACGGCCAGGTACTTCAACGACGGCCAGGTACTTCAACTGCACCGAGCCTAAATCTTGAAACCTTCTGAAGCCTGAACGAGAAAGACGTTGTGCTTCTCCGCAGGACCTCCCTGATCAGTCGGACGCAAAGATCCCGCATGGCCCTTCCCCATCGGCTCTTCGGAAAGCCTTAGGATGGACTCAGCCAAAACCTCCGCGGTGCCTCTGTTACGACCTCGCCACGCCCGAGCCGTGGTGCCCGGTGCCTGGAGACTCTTGATGCGCCCTTCCATCCGCATCAGCGTCCGTTGGCTCACCTCCTGACGTTGGAAGAGCTGGAAGCGACGGTTGCACACGAGGGACGGAGGGCACAGGGGTCATGGTCTGCGGCAGGCTCACCATCTGAAAAAAGAATAGCATGCGGCCGCTGGTGATCGTTTTGGAGAAGGAATGATGGCTTGACTCAGGAGTCTGAAGATCTTCGACTGTTGGGGTGGGTGGTCTTCTAGCCAAAGGGTTTCTGGAGTTCAGCGGGGCCAACAATAGGGGCTGCATGCTAATGACAACAGAACAAGGTCCAGGGCATGTTCATGATGATTGATGACTTTTGTGATTTGAACGTGTCGAGCAGGCTGCGGTCATCCCTCGCATGATTCTGACCAGAGTGCCGCCTTCTGGAGAAAAAACATATGTGCAAATGGCACATTGTATACCAATGGAACCCAAAACCTACGAATTTGTCGTGTCTGATGGAAAACATCGTGTTTGGGCTCCACCTGACTAAAAACATGGTGTTTCTGTCGAAAACATCATTTTTCCAAAAGCACTAAGTTTCGAACCCGTATAAAAACCGTAGAAAACCCGTAGAAAACCGTAGAAAACCCGTAGAATCCCGTAGGCAATCGTATCGTTTTGAGGAAGTCAACAAAACTCGTGTTTTCATCAAAAACCTCGTGTATTTTCAGGGTATGACATTTTTAGGAGTTCTTGGTTCTCTAGGTATACTAAATATCTCAAGGCTCAAAACGATTGATTCGTCCAGAGGAATATCGTCTTCCGTGCATCTGTACATGTTTTCAGGAGGCTGTCAATAATGGACGGACTTCGCCCCAACATCAAGATGGGTTTGAGCTCACACATCTCATTGTCGACAAACTTGCTGTCTCAAATTCCGGAGAAAACCAAACAAAACAAACTGGTGTAACGTCCGGGGATGGAGTTACATTATAAATACGTACTATTATACGTAGTGCTCCACCTCTAAAAAGGACACGCTTTCGACGGAGTCTTTCGCATCTGAAGAAGGCCTTGCTCTGGAAATGCAAGCAATCGACAAAGTCTTCCAGTTCGATCTGCGGCTCCTGCCATGAGCCGGGCCGTAGAAAACGACGGAGAGCCCCTCCCCGAAGTCTTCGTCTCTCGCCCCCAATCGGCAGGGTAGACTGGTCTGGTCGGTCTATTGGTCCGAAGTAAGTGTTCTTGGGCACTGCTGTGAACATTATACATGTATGTTGCGGCAGTGTGCGCTTTGTACAGGGGACTCCCGTCTATTAGTCTATTGATGGTCTTGCACGTCCACAGGGTCATTGCCGACTGCTACGCATATGACATCAAATTTACGGATTTTACTTGTTTTGCTACGTCTACTATCGTCTACCTATTGTTCAATTTCAATTTCACTCCACAAGCAGAGTTAGCCTTTAAGGCCTTCAACATATTTTGTGAACTCTGAGGGTCAATGGAAGTGCGAGTTGGACTGGGTCGTGAGTGCTTGGGCTATACAAACACCATACAGCACCCTGGCATCAGAATACGTAAACATCCTTAAACCAATCTTACACCTTCCTGCCCAAAACGTGGCTCAGAAGCCGTCTGCCAACCGTCCAAACCTTCACACTTCACGACTCTTCACGGTAGGTGTCAATGTCTGTGTTTGTTCGTCCATGTTCGTCCTGTTTCTACATCTCGCATGCAGTCGCACGAGCACTCGCGCCACCGGTGCCTTGTCAGAGGCCGGCTGCTTGGATCGTAATTCGAAAAGCTCACGCAGATGCTCCACATCGGAGGGAATGTGCCTGGTGAAGCTCAGGGCCAGTCCGTGGGCTTCAGGGATTCAGGAAGACCAAATGAAGAGCTTTTCCAAATCAACATTTTGGAGGTTATCAATGTATATCAATCAATTGAGAGACTACATTACATTGGGTGCTGTGATCAACGACTCTGAAAGATCGAACGTCTTGCCCTCAAGCCATGCAATTTTCGAGTCCCGGTTTCAACGTCAGCCACGAAGCGAAGCTAAGCATCGAAAAGCCAATAAATATAATGTCCCAACAGATCAAAAAGCCCGCCACCCTGAGACCATGCTGGACCCCCCAATTAATGTCACAACAATTGCCTTTAATGTCCAAAACGACCAGGAAGCTCTTCCCCCGAATGGTTTGGAAGCTCCAGTCTGCGGACGGAATGTGTCGCTCGATTCGTCTGCCGAGCGTCGCTTCGATCAGCGATTCTTCAAGTTTGTGCCGTTCAGTTCTGATCTTTGCCTCGAACTCGGACTTGCTCAGCTTTCCTCAGACCGCGCCAGAAACAAAAACACATTCATCCTCCCCCAAAAGTGGGAATCCACTCAACATCCAAGGGGGATAACGGTATGACCTCCTGATTTTGTGGCGTTTTTAGCATTCCCTCGCCAGGATCATCCATATTCATTCATCATTCATCCACCAATTATTCTTCCCTGGTGGTGGGTTGTGTTTTGGAATGTTTGAGGTTAATATGGGGTTAGGTAAATCAAGAATCGGAAAGAGATGCAAAAAGACTCATCAGCTGATCAGCTGCAATAAAAGCTCTATCTACGGACTTTGCACCTGGTCTTTGCTTCCGTCAATGATCTGAGTAATTTGAAGAAGTCTGGGACACGAATCTTCTCAGGTGCGAAGTGGAAAAAACAAATGGGGAACGCACCTCCGAATGGGCCAAAGCTGGGACAGCCCGGCAACCATTGCGGTCCCCAGAACCAGACTCGTCCATGTCTTCGAAAATCCTCGGACCGCGTTGCGAAGGTGATGATGATGACGACGATGATGATGATGACGATGACGATGATGAAGTTTTCAGCAATCTTCACATGCATATACAAACTGCAATACAACTTTCAACAAGTAGATGCGACTTAAACCAATAATTACAAATAAGTATATACCGATAATGTTGACCTTTGATTTATAAACGCCCCTAGAATAATGTCACTTTTTTTCCTGCACAGATTTATAAAGGCCCCCAGAATAATGTCTTTTTTTTTTGGGAGGGGTAGTTGTAGTGGGATATTTTTTATTGTTATAGTTTTCTTTTTCCCTTTTGAGTTTGCTGGGATTTGCTTATCTTACAGGCTTTTGGATGGATATTTCTATTAAACAGTTGGAGATTTCCATTGAGATTTGATGCTTTTGGAGGCTTTTGGATGGAGATTTCTATTAAACAGTTGGAGATTTCCATTGAGATTTGATGCTTTTGGAGGCTTTTGGATGGAGATTTCCATTAAACAGTTGGAGATTTCTATTGAGATTTGATGCTTTTGGAGGCTTTTGGATGGAGATGTCTATTCAACATTTGGAGATTTCCATTGAGATTTGATGCTTTTGGAGGCTTTTGGATGGAGGGGGTAGTCCAGCAAGCAGCTTTCTGACATTATTTAGGGGGGG